AGACAGGATGGCGTTGGTTTCGACGCTGTCAAAGGCTTTCTCGTAATCGACGAAGGTTAGGACGAGAGGCAGTCGGTACTCCCGGCAGACACCCTTTTTAAAAAGGAGGACGGTTCTTGACGTTCTCCACTGGTCGGGACTCCTTTCCTTCTGAAGGTAAGATGCCAGGTGCGACGCGAGAATCTCGTGTAGACGATGTCAGCTCGCAGAAATTCGACGGAAGGATGGTCTGGTCCTGGAGCCGTGGATGTCTTTATGGTCTGAATCGCCATGCGCACTTCAGCAGGTAGAATTCGTGGTGGTACTTCTCCATTGGGAACAACGGGCATCGGCACGGTGTTGATAAGCGGAGGAGGTTGGTGTAGAAGTTCTTTGCGATAGATTCCATCTTGTATCAGGAAGAAATCGGAGTCCCGTCTTTGTCCAATAGTGCAGCCAGCGGCACGTGTTATTCACGGAGGTCCCTTCGGCATTTCTTAAGACTTCGTCTTCCTTCGGCTGCTTCCAGTATCTTGGCTTGCCTGTACTTCCTGAGATCCTCCTGCAAAGCTGTTCTGCAACTGGTGTTGGCTATCAGTCGCTCGAGATGGGTTGCATTATGATGATGAAAGAAATGAATGCTGTGGTTACGTAGAAATCTGCTGGGGCTGTGGTGGGGACTATTTAGGCCTTTGAGCGACCACATGCAAAAAAGTTTTTCCAGAAAGTTTAAGAAATCGATCATTTTTCGCTCCTTAAAATGCACCAATTTTCAAGCAAGAGTTCTCGGGGGGCGCCCCCCCCCCCCGAGAACGGGTCGCAAAATTTTTGAAAGTTACTTACATGAGTTATAATTTTGTGCAAATGACTTGTTTATACGTGTAAATAATTAAAATATTTTTTTTAATTTTTTAAAATTCATTTTAACCTTATAAAAAAATTTTTTTCGGGGGCCGGAGTGCGTGGCTAACGCCACGCACCTTCATTTGAAAAAATTTTTTGTCGCGCCCCCCCCCCCCCCGAGCCGAAATCCTGGGTACGCCACTGCTGCACACTGCATCACTCCTCATATACTCTGCACTAAACATACTCTATACTTTACACGCACCTTGCAGACTGACCACATTACACACATCCCAAGTGGTATACGGGGAAAAAGGACTGCTTTCGCTCTAATCAATGTAGTGGTGAGCTCACCATGTTCGTGATTTGCAACATGGCAATTCCCGACATCAATACTGAAGTTTCACACTGCCCCAATCCCAACCAGGCCAAAATTGGCATGGCGGGAGTCCGCGTCGCTGAGGTTTCGCGGTCCCGCCCACGCCTGCTTCTCTGCTCTCTCTTCAATCCTTTTGCTCTTTCAACAGCGCGCATATGCAGCGCAAACGCTTAGCGCTGCGAGCGCGCAAACTTAGGCCGACGGTTCGGTCTGATCCCGATTGGAGCAGACTGTAAGCAGTTTAAAAACATGTAGGGCTTTCAAACTATAGTTAGGCTTAAAGTAGGTACTTCAGTGCACCCTACTTTTCAACAGATTTGTGCACTTCACTGAAAAACAGCAACATTTATCATATACAGGGTGTCCCAAAAAAATGTGCCTACTGTTTGATTGTAAATAACTCTCTTGTAATGAAGGGTTTCGAGAAGCTTTAGGTACCGTTTTGTAGAGCGAGAGGACTTAGTTTTGCGGTATGGAGCGAATCAACTATCGCTTTTCATTACTGTAAAATTACGGTACGAATTTCCAGCATATGGAACCAATGTGAAACATACCACCTAACAAAATTCTCTTCAAAAAATCTGAAAAATTGTGTGCTAGGGTTTTCTCACATGCTGATTCCACCTAACAACTTTTTACGAGTGTTTTCAGCTTTTTTAAAGGTGTAATTACATTTCTGACAAATGCTGGGCATTGAGTTATTGCCATTTACCGGGTGTAACTCTGAAAAGAAGCGTCACAGTAAAATGCGAATTTCAAATTCGAAATCAGCTGCTCTTATTACCGTAGTATGAGAGTTTTTGGCTTGTTTGGTTTTGTTCCGAGGCAGAATATAGCCTCCAATGGCCTAGAATCTATGTCAAATTTCGTACCGTAATCCTACACTAATGAAGAGAGATAGATGATTCGCTCCATACTGTTAATCTAAGTTTAGCCTCGCCCTACAGATCGGTACCTAAAGCTTCTCGATAGACTTTATTACAAAAGAGTTATTTACAATCAAACAGTAGGCACATTTTTTTTGGGACACCCTGTATATTTATTTATCGCAAAAAACACAAAAACACAAGGCAGTACGCAAGTGTAGACTGGCCATCAATGGAATGGGTACGGACTGATTCTGGCACGCGCTTTCGTCTGGCCTTGAAGAAGCATCGAAAAACTGACCATCGACAAGTGAAGATCTAAAAAAGGAAAAATCAAGAAATTATTAGGTGGGTCCGAAAGTTCGTGCCGTTTTTTATACTTTTTCTGAAATCGTTCAACATGAAGACAAACAAACATTTTAAACACTATCCAATGCAGAATTTCTTCCTCTTTCCAGCAGCTGTGTTTCGTTGTGACTGTTTCGGCGAGTGCTGAGATAAGTGCCGAAAACTAGAAACCTTCATTTTTAACATGTCTAAATTTCGTCAAATTTCAGAATTTTCATTTTAGACTTTTGAGGGTGCTTTAATAACCACCTAATAAAGCAAACCTTTTCCAAATTACTGCAATTTTTGAGTTTTTTCAGTTTCTTCTTTAGAATTTTGCTGAATTCTTTTACCAGAGTATTGAATTTGGAGGAAGTCGATTGACATATAACTGCGACAAACACTGCGAAATCCTCAAAATATTGAAGTTTTAAAACTCAGTCATTACTGTCACTAGTATTACGAAGCAAATGAGCGATTACGGCGTGAAAATGAATAAATTTTGGAACTACAATTTTGCGTACCCGTAAAATTGCTAAGTACAGCGATCTTGTCTGCAAAAGCCACATGTTTCGCAAAGAAAAGGTAGCTTTCAGAAAGAGGAGGAAAAGATGCATCGAATGGCACCTAAACTGTTCGATGTCTAATGTTTTGCGAGGTTAGAATGAGCCAAATATAGAAGACCACTTCAAAAAATATATTTTGGTGGTGGATCCATAAAGCATGCCAGAGAGACGCAAAAAATTGCATTAATTTGCAAAAGGTTCGCTTTATCAGGTATTATTAGAGCACCTTCAAAAGTTCAAAATAAAACTTCTGAAAATTAGCGAAAGTTAGACATAGTAAAAATGAAGGGTTCTAGTTTTGGCAATTATCTCACAATCAGCGCTCGTCAAAGCAGTCACGGGAACATAGGCTGGGAAGGGGAAGCAATTCTGCATGGGATACTGTTTGAATGATTTGCTTATCTTCCTTTTGAACAATTTTAGATTAGGTCTAAAAAACGGCACGAACTTTCGAACCCACCTCATATTTTGAAAAATTCAAAACCGAAAGTAAACTAAAAATGAAACTAGAATTAAATTTAAGAGAACTAAAATCAAAAGCAAACAAAATGAAATAGAAATAAAATTTAGAAAAATTGAAAAATTGAAAAAAAAACAAAAAATAAACACTACAAAAAACAAGAACAAAATCATATCACAAAAAAAACTAAAAATAAACACATAAATCAATAAAAAAATATGATGATTAAGACTTCTTTTCATAATCCCTTACAAATCAACATCAAAATCTCCCTTCTCAATCCACGGATGTAGATTTCAGTTCAAAAAACTTTGCTTCTTACTATAATAATTCCACATAGTAGAGTTATTGTAGAGAACGAAATTTTCAGCAATCAAAAAATGGACACCTGTGACAATGCAGATTTGGTCATGAAAATCAAACGTCATTAGGCTGACTCTCTTCAGTTTTGCCAAAGCTTTCTATCGGAAGCACGACGAGATCCTTCATATATGGATACACTTGAAAAGAAGAGAAAGCCTTAAGGTTTCAAAGCACCTACTTGTGTCAGATTCTGCTTTGGATCCGCAGGAGCTTCTTTGTAAACCAGTGCTTGTATGCACGAGGTTATGTGCAAGACGTGATGAACAAAAAATTTTTGAAATTCAGATGAGTCCTATAAGGAACGTTATAGAAATGCTCGCCGGAACTAAGAAAGTATGGGAACTATATGCCTCTCAGTCGTGAACATCAAAATACTGCAATCGATTTTATATTGGCTGAACAAATGCTTCTGACGTGTAAGGAACCGTAAAAATTTCAGCTAGGGAGAACGACTTCAAACTATCGCCCAAAATCCCCTTGTCCACATTGTGCAGTAGATAATCCGCATTTTAGCTGAATCTTAGACAATACTAATGATATAACAGAGGAACGTAACTCACTCTATCCTCTATCAGAAGTTCCAGTATTTTCCGACGTGCAGGCAGAGAGAATTTTTGATAGCCTGACAGAAAAAGGGTGTTGAGTCAACTTTAGGCTAGAAAAAGCAAAAGTTTTTATTAGCGCGTGTAAAATAAAAATGCATTTTGAATGCGTTTATAATGGTAAAAAAGGTAAAAGTAAAAGGTCGAGCATTGTTCTAGTTGGCCACACTGACAGTGCTAATTATCCAGTAATAATCTTGATGCAAAAATTCCAAAGGACTTACTTCAAATATTAATTATTTTGCTCTTGTGCAAGTATATTTGGCACACAACATATCATAAGACGCATGGAGAAATTGCTTCCTCCAAATGTCTTTTTAAAACAAAAGGCAGCGAAACTAACAGTGAATTGATAGCTCATTAGTGAAGAAAGAAGTATGAAGATGACCTTGAAGCGTCATTTCACGCATTGACCGTACTACCATCCTAAGAATCGACATTTGAACGCAATGAAATTTATTCACGGTGGAAAAAGGTTTCTGAAAAAGTTGTGCTTGTGAAAGCAATGGGGCAAAAACGAAAAATTGTGACCTAGTACCATATGCGCTCTTTTCGTAACAAAAAATAACTTCAGTAAGGGCAATTAAGAGTTAGTAAAAACTCTTCATCTATGATTGTCCACCAAAAATTGAACTAATCGTAACAAGTAGGGTTCACTTTCTCCACCAAATGAGTTTCATCTTGCTTCACTTTTCTCTTGTCCTCATCTTCTGCAATCTTGTGGAACTCTAATCTGAAAAAAGTTAACTTGATAAGTGCATTAAACACTATATAAAGTATATACACACACTATATCTTAGATCAAATCCAAGTTGGTGACGAGTAAAAATAGGCAGACGCTATGACAACACTATTCAACCATCTTTTCTTTCTTTATAAGTCGTCATATTACTAAGCTGTTTTTTTCTATGGGCAGTCGAAAAACTGTCGAAATTGAACCTATCGATTGTACCATGCCCAGTTCCATTTCAAAAATTCTCATTTTAGGTCTTGGAAAAGCTTTTCGAGAAGAAGGACGGATAAAAAAACTGCAATATAATAAATGTTATGCGTCTTCAGCTGGCCTTTAAAACTTTTCAGAATTGTAGATGCACCAAATATTAACCCTGAGCGATTTTTTCACAAAGTGAGTGTGGCTTTACCGCCTTTAGATATCAGAATATCAGAACTCCGACCACAAGAGTGCATTAAGAGCAGTGGAATTGAAATTTACGACTATTACTGCAGCATTCGATTAAACCAAGAGATTATGGGATTTATGGGAAAAATGCAACGAATGGTCCCTTTGTTTTTTGTGTGGTTCTAGTTAATTGATCACTTCAAAAGATTATTTTCAAAAATTTCGATAGCTAGCTTGTGACCTCAAAAAGTCCATCTACTACCGCACCTTGAAAACTGCCAAAGCTGCACATGGTAAAAACTATACGTAGTGATTGTGGCGGTTATTTTCTTACTATAAGAGTAGCTAGTTAAAATACATGACATCAAAAAAGGAAGAAAAGCGCGTTGAATAGTCTCTGAAGCGTACGCCTTTCCTCATTCCACATCCACATAAATGGTCTAGGAAGGAGCACAATATTTGACCGAGCTAATTAATTTTGCCAACAAATAGATGTGTACAGAAAAAAGAAAACGAAAATGTTTTTGCTCACATGAATGTTTTGATTTCCTGTGCTTTCTTTTCTCTGAAATCTTCCGGAATTGCTAGGTTGTTCGCTCGTAAGGTAAGTTCCACGAAATCTGTAAACATTAGTTATATTAAGAGGAAATATGTCGCCGCATTATTTTCTTACCAGTCAAAAAATCACAGAGATGTTCTTTATGTTCAGCAATGTCTTTCTGCCAACATTCGATGTCGTAAGCCGAAAAATACAAATTTATTCTTTATAACTGTCAAATATAGCAGATTCACCTGCACAAATAACATGGTCAGAAAGTTTCGAAAGAATTCTTGTTCATTCCTGGGTCTTGTTGGTGCGAGCTTCTTGTAGACTTCATTGAGAGACACTCTTCTGTGTCTGTACTGATCCTCGGTACACGGCACACGTCCAAACCAACCCGTTTTGCTACAGCCGTTATTTGACAGATTGAGCTAAAAATTTATATTAGTTGATTACAAGTCTCGCATCAAAGGAGTTCAAAAAAGGGTGATATCCTTTGATCGTAAGGGCAGTGTCCAAGCAAAAAGCCGATTTTGAGATTTTGTGCTTACTCGAGCCTATTCGCCATGCTGAATCCGAGAAACCACAATGGAGAGCGCAAAAACGCCAAAAAAAAGACCCTAATGAAGTAGGGAAATCGCAGATGGGCGGGCTGTTCACACCGTGACGTCACTCTCCCAGCTTTAGGAGTGATCTTCCCGGTTCCGATTTTATGTCATGCGTTTCGCAGTTGGCTGGTGGTGATGTTGGAGTGACTAGCGGAAGCGGGAAGATCGCTCCTAAAGCTGGAAGAGTGACGCCACTATGTGAACAGCCCTGCCCACCTGCGATTCCCCTCCTCCGTGAGAGCCATTCGCCGTTTTTGCACTCTCCAGTGTTAATTTTCAGATTCAACATAGCGAATAGGCCCAGGTAAGCACAAAACCTTGAAATCGACTGTTTGCTTGGACACTGCCTTTAACGATTTCTTCTGATTCATTGTAGATTGAAAAAAAGAAAACTATGCACTTTCATTTGAGCAAAAGTTTTGAATTATGGGCATTAAAGGCAGCGGCTCGAAAGAATGACGAATGTGAAAAGTGCTATTTGGGCGGACAGCGTATCCTGCTTTCTAGAGCGCGGTTGCCTTGTGAGTGGAGACACTGTACCTACCGTACCCACGAGCCTATCGCGCTCGAGGGCAGCCATACGTCGTCCACCCAAATACCACTTTCAATTCTGGAAAAGCGGGTTATTGATGTCTTTTGAAGCTGCAAAGCACAGACTTAAACTTAGCTCGTCCAGGAGAACCTAGGACGATAAATTTTCCAAAATTGTCATTCTGCCGAGTCGTTGCCTTTAAGATAACAGATACAAACAGAATAGTTTTTATTCAATTTTTTCGCTAAAAATGCCTGGAAGTCCACCAAAGTTCAACTTTTGTGTGGCCTTACGACTTACACTGGTTTTCTTAATCGAGAGATTTACAGCGGTCTAGTGTATCTACAAATAATTTCGATTTTTCTGACTTCCAGCCGATCTCCAATATGCATAGTATGTCAACATTTGTTATATGTTTCAAAACAAATCTATTATAACCAAAACATTATCTTGGCATTTAAACATTTTTTTTGTTTTAATGCAAGACTTATGGATCATATAAAGGTTTGCTCGTAAATTCGCTTGGGACGTAGGAAGTAGCAAAGGCAAGCCGCCTTTGCTACTGAAAGCGCTTTGTGAGCTGGAGACTTCCTCATGACTCTGATTACTACACATTTTAATTACTTCATTGAGTCACTTCCGTGCTTTAACCCATTGGCCCGTAGTAAACCCCTCACTTCACTTCAGATAATCTCAAATGAGGGGCTGAGTTGAGTTGAGGTATTTAAGATAAACTGACTAGCGGTCACTCACATGCTTAAGAATGCGACCTGATCTGAAGGGTTAGCGTCATGTGCCACGATGAATTCACCTGAAATCCGTAAGAGCAGCCTCGATTTTGAGATGAATTGACCGAAATAGTGTGCAAGGGATGACGCAGAGAAAAATCCCGTAAGTTGCTCGTGAGTAACTTTGGTAACTTACGGGACATCGTACTTGACGTATTGTTGCAGTACAAGAACGCGCAAAACTGCACAATACCGGTGCCCAAAAAAGAAAGGATCAATGAACAGCTGATTTCGGCAAAAAATAGAAGAATAGGTTTTTCCTTTTTGCAAAGTTTGCTTAGGTCTTTTCTACAGAGGCTACTCAGAGCGACAATCTTTTTATTTATTTCCATTCGATTTTGTCCCTACTTCCTCAGTTTTTGATGAAATTTCGGTTAGAAAAACACAGTTTTGTTTTGTGCATTCATTTGGTTTGTGGATTCCTTGATAGCGGCCGTCATCGATTTTCTTCGATAGCCCGCTATCAAAGATTGTTCACTGATGCACAAGAATTCGCCACTGTCCGGCGCCAAATCACGGTCGTGCGAGCTGAGTACAGTGACATACCTGTTTGACCAAACCTTCACAAGAAGTTCCTCTTTAACAGCGCCCAAGATTTTTATGCCTAAAAAGCGATCCGCATCTAGATCAGTAGCTCGCGGGATGCTAGACCGAGGCGCCATGCGATCAACTCAGATCCGTCTCAGGGCAGATCCCTTAAAGTGGGGTTTACTGCGGGCCATTGACGACGATGGGATCACCGGTGGCCTACCACTTTTGCCGCCAGGGACGATGAGGACCACCGGTGGTCCACACCCCTTGCAAAATCATATCCTTTCCAGGTCTAGTATTTTTTCCAGAGTTCAGCGTTTTCCAGTTGTTGCACTCTTGGGACCTGTAACTTTGTAATAAAAGAAGATGGCTGTAGTTGCTTACAAAACATTTTTACATTTTATAAATAAGCAGAAAATTTTCCCGCGCCGCAACTGTTGTGCAAAATCGCGTCGTCCCACACCGCCGTCACGCAAAATTAGGCGTCGCCGTCAATGGGTTAAGCCTCAGATAATCATCAAAATCAATGGTCCACGAGCAATAGAAGCAAGCAGAAAATTTCTTGAAAATATTTTTCGTCTTGAATTGATTTGGGAATCTTGCAACTTCTTTCAATCACAGCTATAATCGCTAGCAATTACTGAATAGCTTTAGAGAATTTTTCCCCATATTTTTGAAAAAGGAGAAGTCGCCGCGAAATAACAAACATGTGCTTTTAGTTTCTAAAGTTTCTATCTTTTATAGGAATGATCAAGATGGAAAGACCTACAAATACCTGTTTGAGTTTCCGGACTGAAAATCTGAATTTGAACCAAGTCATACTCCAAAATCCTAAAAATTTGGTTTTTTGCCTTTGATGTTCAGTGTGGCTAATCTCAACGCTCCTTTTTGACTTGCTTCATGAGCTAAAAACCCAGACCGTAAAACTTAAATCCCACAATCTACCACGTTTGAAAGGCTAAGAAAAATTCTGCATAGGTCTTATTGAGTAATTAGAAGTGCACCGAAGTAATCAAAGTTGCAAGGAAGTCTGAAGTTTATTAGGATATGCCGGAAGCAGAAGCGGCGAGCCTTTGGTGCTTTCGGGCCGACCCTCCCCCGATTCTGGAAGGTGCACAAGCAAAAAATAACCAACATCAATTCCCGTAATTGTGGCGATGACTCGAAGGACATGTAACGTCTCCGATGGTTGTTCTAGAATATGTATGTATCCGGGTATATTGACTGTCAAGTCGGCGATGCCCAGGAGTTCCTTGATTAGTTTGAAATCTACGTTCACATAGCTGCATTCGATACACTGAAATCAAAGAATTTACAATTTTATAGTGGTATAGTCAACTGCACTCACTCTGACGATTTGATTGATTTTGACAGGATCTACCGTTGCTGAATTCCCTGTCATAGCACCCTTCTTAGGCATGACTGAATAATGAATGAAATATTTTTCGGTTGCGGTGCACATTTTTGTGCGAAACTAACAAACGATAATTTTCATGACAAGAAAAAAATGTAGTATCTCCTCGCTGAAAGTCCCAATTTTCTTTCTAGACCTCAAGAATCTTGACTTCGAAGAAATTCAAGCAAACTGCATTTAATGGACAAAAGTCTGTGACACAATATTAGAAGGTGGGTGCCAGCTTGAATAGCACAGAGGAGAAACTGAATATCAGTTGACTGAGCACCAAGTGAGCCTGAGGATAACAATATAATTAAAGAGATAAGATTATAGGTGTCTTAGACCTGGACAGAGTTCACGCGATTTGATCGTAGCGATTCAGTCACCGCGATTTCCACTCATTTTCATTTTACACGAAATACAAGCTGGTCGGCATGCAATGAACTCGTAACAGTTGTCTTGTCGCGATTGGATAGCGACGACCAAATCGCGTGAACTCTGCCCGAGGCGGGTGTAGCCCGGAAGGCGACAAAACCCAGTTGGAGCGAGCGCATGGAGGCCACGCCCCTCATGGGCGCCCGCGACACTGAGCGTCACGTCAACCAGGCCCGGGACTGACGCTTTTTCGGCACACGTGCTGGCGCACGAATGGTAACAGCATTCTTTGGAGTTTCCATTGTTTTACTTTCTTTGGAGTTTCCATTGTTTTACTTGTTGCCTTCGGTCAAACTAGTGGTCAAATATGGGCTAAGCAGCTTACGGAGTAAATGTGTCACTTGAAAATTTATTCCCTTGTTGATACTTGTCCATGAGTTTGGTAGTGCAACTTTTGGTTTCCTCAATTCAAGGTTGAAAAGATCAAGCATTACAGACCTACGAGACACGCCATTATAGCTTTGGAACAAATGAGAGAACATAATCGCAATTCGCCGCCCAAAAGACGGGTTATGAGCAGATCAATTTCTTCGAAAGCGCGTTCTTTTAACCTAGAAGTGCAGTTTTTCCGCGATCTTCATTCCTTTGTTTCACGGAAGTCGATTTGTCACATTCAAATTCATAGATCATGCACCGCAACGACTGAGCTTGTCATGAACGGTAATCAAGACATGCAAAGGCAGTGTGGTATTGTTCAAACAGACAAATCAAAACTATCATACTGTTGCAAATCAGCTCCCTTTCGGTGGAAGAAATACAAACTCTTTTTGCCGGAAATCCAGAATTGTCCAATTACTCAACCCGCTAGCAAACTGGCATTCTGTCCATAATCAATTCTATGACCTTTCCTCGGCTTTTCTGCGCTCTTCTGTTTTACAGTTTGAACGATGAATCTTTCAATGAAAAAAAGGCAGCGATGCTAACAATCAGAAAAAAGAGTGATTATTATATCACTATCAATTACAGTGTATTGCAAGCGACAGCTGAAATAAAAAATTTGAAGTGCTCGAACAGTCTCAACATCGAGATCCCACCGCAGAATGCGTCCTTGCTCAAAGTGCTCAAAATCTTCTTCTATGTTCAGCCTGAAGAAAAGTCGTATTGTAAAGAAGATGCAAAAAAAATAATAGCTCACCTTTACTTGATATAACTGGCTTATAGTATCGTTGTTGAGTGGGGTTCTACTCACATTCTATCCGCTCGACATCATCAACTTGGACCAGGTCTGCACAAAAACTAATTAACGTATAAATGGTATAGTTAACTAAATATCTAACCCATGAAAAAATACAAAACTATCACATCACTCAAAAACGCAGATATCTACTAACCTCCTTACTAGGATGATCTTTTAGAGCACCATGCATATTGCTGCAGCCTGAAACAAAACTTTTTAGAAAAGGCAGAAGAGCATATCCTCACAGAGAGGCGAATACAAAAGAAAGCAAATCATCACATTACCACAATGAGCAATAATATACATACACGAACAAAAACGTCCAAAAAACCAGAGAACAAACGAAGTCAGAGATTGAGAGAGCCATGCGCAATGTGTATAAAGGCGCCCCAATCCAAATATCCAGAGCATCCTAACAACACTAGCTGCATTTGTTCTAGGTCATTTGTCGCCTTCCGGACGTTCCCCCTCCTGGGACGTCGAGCCCTCGCGACCGTCCCGGCCCAATCCAAATATCCAGAGCATCCTAACAACGGGAAACTCGGACAGGGCGTGGCCACTAGCTGCATTTGTTCTAGGTCATTTGTCGCTTTCCGGACGTTCCCCGCCCGAGGCCCTACACGCAAAAATTCCATGGGTGGTTCGAAAAGTTAATGACAAGACACTATTATTGAATTTGTCTCTCAAAATCTAATAGACTTGGGGAACAAACGCAGAATCACATAGTCAACAGATATATACCACGATAAAGAGCTTTCCTATACTACTCCGTAAGCTTTGCGAGCGGGAACAAAACAGTTTTTCGTAAGATCACTTTATGGAACTGGCTAACAAGACCACAGCCAACGTAAATTTTGAGTAACGCTGATACAAAACTTTTTGCTGTTGTGTCTTGAAGATGTCGTTTAGATACGATATGGTGAATGTATGTTCTTAAAGACTGGTCAGGCAAGACTAAAAAGCTGATTCGAACAAATTTATGGTAGCGAATATGAAAAAATGATCTTTGAACCCTAGTCTGGTCAACTTTAGAAGAATGTGTAAAGCCAATAGAACGAGACCAGAGGTGATCATTTACAGCCAAAATCGATAGTAATCAAATTCAACGAGGAAAATAGTCTTCCAGAAATCGGAGCATGTCCTAATACACTTCAACAAGGAATTATTCTGCAGATTAAATGATTATCCGGTTTTTCCCATTTGATATATTCTCGGGAGGGATTTTCAGATAATAGTGCAGCCAAATAGCTAGAAATATGTGAAAAAAATGAACACATTAAGTGAAAAATCATGAACGGCGTTTGTCACAACAAATGACCCAGGTGTAATCATGCTCGCTTTGGTCTTGGCACAGATTCTGTTCACACCTCGACTGAGGCCATCGCTCGAAAGTAAGACAATACAACAGGATCGTACATCATAACGCTAATGCCATTCTCGTTAAAAAACACAATGTATGTCTTAAATGTAGCCGACCTTTGCACCATTAACACTATTCACAACTATGATAAATGATTTATTCAACTATATTTATTTGAGATTATCTGAAAAAAAGTCAAAAAATTGAACCAAATTTCAAAACTAATAGATATACGTTAAAGATTCGATCGACACAAATTTCTTGCAGAAAGAAAGCCTTCGATACTGGGACTAAAATAAAACATTCAGCAGATGACTCAGCAATCTGAGCGATCAAAAAGCAAAAGAACACTTTTCTTTCTCTTAAAAGTAGAATGTAGCAATTTTGTATGATTGGAGAAGACTGTAGTCTTAATTTGGTTCAAACTTCTGCCTTCTTTAGCGTACTAGAAATGGAGGACAATGATCAGATTTGTAACAGAAATCGCACAGTTCACTTGGTGACTAAGAAAGACAGATCGGAGAGTTCAATGACCACCGTCACATACGTCACTCCGTTCGCGTAAACATTATAAAAATGAGCATCGATCGCTTTTATGTACTCTTACTCAATGTAGGTGAAAAATTAGCCTTGAGAATGCGTAGCAGTTTGTGCGTTTTAATTCCTGATTTTCTAGTTGGTCTAGGAACGATACGTTCCTTTAGAGCAAGTTTGCCTTCTGATACTATATTTTGCGGAAACCGATGATTAACCACTCATTAAACTGCAAATGACTAACAAAGGAAGGATACTCGGTGGCCGTGGCCATTTGGAATACGATGTATACCATAAGATGCGCTTTGAAACGTGATTCCAGATCTACGCTCGTTATCTGAGAAAGGATTTTCTGTAAGAGTTATGAACCTTTTTCAACAGAATTTGCTTAGTTTTGGATAGCCAAAATCACCTAATTTGTTCTAGTCTACCTTTTAACGCCACTAAAGAAAATACTTAGAAGGAGTACCTTGTATTTATAACTACCCAAATCATATTCAGCATTTGAAAAAGAAAGAAATTTTCATGATTTATTTTGACTCTCCACAGAAAAGCAATTCATTCTCGAAAAGAAATCATAATCCCATCCAGGTTATTTCGCAGATATGGAAAACAGTATTCGAACAGATCAAAAGGCGCATTTTTTGATATACAGATCATTAAGAATGGTCACGGTCATCAAGTATCTTTTCCTTGTAAGAAAATCTGTACAAGTTTTTGACGCAGGCATTTCAATTTATTTGAAAGGTGTGAGCGATTCGAGAGAAGCTCCTCACACGAAAAGATTCGACGAAATTTGCAGGGACGTGTCCTTCTGATTCTTGGAAAAACCCCAAATGGAAATTGTCAGATATCGTTCGGAACTATTGAAATGTGAACAATTTGCTATACACATACTCAAACATAGATAGCTTTGTTAGGGAATTAGCTGAACTTAAAACAAAAACACCACAACCGGAAGAACAAATTTGCCAGTCAGAAGACTTTAGGATCGAGTTTTCGACCAGGCCAAGAGGTCGAGAACTTGATTCCATTGGTCGTTTGAGCTGCCGTTTGAGCAATCAGCTAAAGAAGTTGTAAAAAATCGCAAGCCAAAAAGGGGTACCAAAGCTTGGACCCACTGGAGCGAAAGGGGTCTAAAGTAAAGCCCGCTCCAAAATCAAATTGCACGCTTACAGTAGAAGGATACGGTGACGTGGCCTTTTGAAATGAAACGTTCATCATTAAATTCACCTTGAAGCGCTGATTCCAAATCTACTTTCGATATCTGCTGTGCGCCCTTCCGAAAGAAGTTATGAGCATTTTTTGCCACCAAAATTTACACTGTTTTTGATGCAGGATTCACCAATATCGTCAGAATGTTTGCTTACGCACTAGAGCGTACAAATAGAGTGTATTCAGCTTAAGCTCAGGAACACTGTCTCCAATTTATCAGAGTCTAAATCCTTGGATACTGACAATTCTGACTGCCTAAATCTCATAAAATCAATACGAAAAAAGTCTCAAATTTCGTTTGGAGGGTCGCACAGCAGATAACGAACATAGATTTGGATTACAAGGCAATATAATACAGGGCGCATTTACAGTTGTACATCTCATTGCAAAAGGCCACGGTTCCAAGTATCATTCTCCTGTTGATTGACAATATTTAACCATCAAAGCAATCTTTGGATCCCAATTTGTGTAAATACAGTTTGAAAGGTGAACAAGTGCTCTTCTTGCTGCATCCTACTCAAAAAAGCGCCTTTGTGCTTATGCGAAATATTTTTTACTCTTACGATTTGAAGTGGGTTTTATTTAGTTTCATCTCATGGAGACTCAGCAGTGAAATTTTACATCTTTTAAGCGGATAATTTGTGACTGTGTTAATTTTTTCAAGGCGAAACATTCATGGAAAATAAATGCGAAGATGTTGATAAAATTCATGATGCGACTGCAATTTAGCATTCATGTGCATTGTAAACTCTACACATCTGCAGTTCTTCAAGATTTTTTATCTACACGACAGTCTTGACAAATCGTCGTAGGAGGAAATGCAGAACCACAAGGGTTGAGGAAGGGTATAGGACTGATACCCTCCATTATCAGCGACTCCTACATAAGTGGATAACTGGCCACAGACGCAATTCCACAGTGATTATTGCGATTACGCGCCATGCGAATGTAACCGCCATCTCCCCAATCCTTGCTCCAGCTAGAAACAGATCAGCTACATTTGAAAATCAAATATATTTTTGAAAAAATTGATCTGAACCTATTTTTGACCAGCCAATACTCTCCTCCCTCCGGATCAGTACCATATCCAACGACAAGGACACCATGATTAAGATCTTCGGAAGAGCAGTTTTCATCATAGTAAACACCTAAGGTATGAAGCATTTTTAGCTCCGAATTTTCTCCACTCAGATTTATTCTTTGGATATTGTTTAACTGCGATGCTATTCAAAAAATATCTGATAAGATGAAATTGAAAATTAATGCATTCCTGATGCCAAATCTAAAGTGAGGAGATTTTTGCCATTTTACGGTGCCAGGTCGAAGAGAAATAAAAAGGAAACGGCGCCCCTTTCCCGGAGATAATCGACAAATCTTTATGAGTGTGAACTACATGGGCTAAAATGGGAAAGTTTTTCGTTCGAGAAGAGATCATTTCAAAATTTTAAAAATCAAATTTGCGAAAGTTTCTAGCGCGTTAAAATTTTGAAAACGTGGTTAGCATTCAGATCATGGCGCTCATTACCCTGTTATGCTCGAGAACACTTTTCAGATGAGCCTCTTTACAGAAACTTAGCGACAAGCAGATTGAAATGAATTCGTTAAAAAATTCAATATTTGTTTGTTGTCCGTAGCCTAGTTGTTTATATGAACAATCATAGTAAAATAATATATCAGATCAATTCCATCAATTCAGTCTACATGGCAACTTGCAGCTAAATAGTTACAACAAGGTGAAATCCTAGTCCCTTCCCCCCCCCCTCCCGCCGCCGAGAAAATTTTCAGCCCGCTGTCGTCATCTACCTGTTCTTATCATTCCCTAAAGTGCACGTCAAACCAATTTTACTGTTAGCAGAGATTAAAGCATTTGAAAACTGATCAGTGATCCCACTTGAGAAAACGTTTAAAAGAGTTAACCGACAAACTAAATACGTCGGAATTCTATTCCCCTCCATACAGCAAATAAATTGCGGATTTTGAAATGAATTTGAAAGGTTTAACCTTGTGGAGTTGACGACTAAGGGTTAGTGTTTTGTGTTTCCGACACCATTTGCTTGTAAACGATGCCCTTTGATTCAACGAGGTTGACGGCTGGAAGTCGACCGCTCGCGCCCGCGACGCAGCCTCTCTCGCTGTAGTGCTCTCTGGTTATTCTCTAACCTTAATTAGGTCACGAAGCCCAGCTTTCCAGCCGTCAATCCAGTTGAATCAAAGGGTAAACGGTCGGTTTTGCTAGTCCATATATCTAAATTTGCCTACCTTTCCTATACAGCATGAAGCTGAAACGACTTGCGTCAATGGCAACTGAAATAGGTCCCTTAGTTGCGACAGCCACCTGTAAAAGGTAAGTTTATTCACCGCTCTCTGAAAATAAATATCATGCAAAACTCTCACTTTCAATGCATTTTCGTCTCCTTTAGGAAGATCTACAAAACCAGTAGCATTTGCACCAATGTTCTCCTTTGTGAAATGACATCTTGATTCCTGCATTCAGCAGATTAGAAGAGAATAAATTAGAAGAGAATAAAATTTACGTTGCCGAAATAAGGGTAGCTTTCTTCTGTATCGATGCCATGATTTTCTTTGACGTACTCAAAGGCAGAATCCATTAGACCTCCGTTGCATCCATCATTCCCATAAGCAAAAGAGCAATCCACGAGATTTTGTTCGGAAAGAGACACCTGGAATTGCCTTCATAATTTTTTGAAATAATAATTGAGTGCGTATGCTACCAGCTTTTTCGTAATACGGGCATGCTGCCCCTCAAGTGCTCCGGTTGCTGAAAAAGCCCAGCAAGACCCGCATTCTCCCTGGTACTTGACTTCAGTAACAATTCCCTTTGTTCGCCAGTCAACTGTGTCAGGCACCTGAAATTAAGCTCAGTTGAGCTACAGACAACTCCCGAGAAAGGAGCGCGCAGAGGGGGGGGGGATGGGCCGTTCAAACTTTCAGATTCTACGGAACTTATAAAATTGTGCGAGTATTGTTGTTACATCTTGAAGTGATCATGATAGTTTCCCAATTTTTTTTGGAAAATAGAACTACTTCGTGAGAAAAATTCATTCGTGGTGACTGCTCAGAGAGTTGCAAACTCACGAACAATTTAAAGCCAAGCGTTAAACTTTTTTGTTAGAACAACTTTTCCAAATAAAGGGTGTCCCAAAAAAATGTTTAGAACGTTTGATCGTTAATATCTCTCTTCCCAAGAAGTCTTTTGCCTTGCTTCAGGTACCGTTTTGTAGCTGGCTTTAACTTAGATTTCCATTATAGAACGAATCACCCATCTCTCTTCATTACTGTAGGGTTACGGTAGAAACTTCAAAGAGGGTTTAGAACCATGAAAGGCCATATTTTGCCTCAGAAAGGAAACAAAACAGCCTGAAAACTTTTACACCAGGCTAATTAGAATTGCTGATTATAACTGTAAAGTTCCCAACTTATTATGATGCTTCATTGAAGAGTTATGCCAGGTGAGAGGTAGCGGCCTTTTTTTCAATGTTCCTGAAAAGTGCGATTACACCGTTTAGAAAGCTTCGTAATCTTGTGAATAGTTGAGTATTGAACTCAGCGTCTATAAAAACCCTATTACACAAGTTTTCACAATTTTTTGAAAAATTTTAAAACGGCAGCTTTTTCCACATTGACACCATATGTTTCAAGTTTCTACCGTAATCCTACAGTAATGAAGAGAGATGGGTGATTCGTTCTATAATGAAAATCTAAGTTAAAGCCAACTCTACAAAACGGTACCTGAAGCAAGGCAAAAGACTTCTTGGGAAGAGAGATATTAACGATCAAACGTTATAAACATTTTTTGGGACACCCTGTATATCTGCACCTTGTGCTTGTATTTTTTGAACAAAAACTCTGATACTCGATTTTTTCAACTTTCAGGGTCTTTTTTACAATTCGCACAAAGCTTCATATGCCTTATAACATCATTTCTGATTTTGGATACTGGCTATTGAAGACCACGGTGTTTCTCAAGAGATAAAAGACATCGTTCTTCTTCAACCCTCAATTAGGGTGACATTCTATTTTTTGCTTATTTTCGTATCTGGGAGCAGGTTTAAGTCTTTTAAATCACTATCTATGTAAAGTCCAAGATACTATAATAGATTTTTTGGGGCGGTGCCTTCAAAGTTGTGACAAAAATACCTTACATTAGTTCAAAACTTAATCTTAAACTTTATGCTACTCAAATACAGCCTTATGCTCCATCGACAGAGCAAACGAGAAGTTTTGTAGGTTGAACTCACGCGAATATTTGGAACAGTCCACTTGCTGCTCTTCCTCAACTCATTAATATCTGCTGCATGACGAAGGCGGTTGCCCAAATAGGCTGAAGGCTGTCGCGCACGCGGCGCGCGGGCAACTGTCAACCACCGGGCGCGCGCACGCTCGGTCAGCGGTCATCCACTGTAGCGTGCGCGTGCCCGTGGCTGACAATTGCCCGCGCGCCGCATGCGCGACAACCTTCAACCTATTTGGGCAACCGCCTTCGTCATGCAGCAGATATTATTGCCTGATCTGCTATGATGACGATATCCATTGAGGTTTTGATATTGTGAGAAGGTCTAAAAGTGTATATCATCTGTGTTCGCCATGAAGACGGCAAAGGAAAAAGCACGATTGTCATACAAGATCAGCGAGGTTGTTCAATCCGAGCTCAAAAGTTTTCCTGCCCAGTCTATACTCGCGATTGTGCTCTTCGATGCGCTTGAGATTTTCGATAAAAGTCTCCATACGCATCCATTCCTCGCTTTCTTCATATTTCTTATCTGTAATATCAATAAAGAGTTGATAGTCAAATGGAAACAAGTGGAACACGGACAAGGATGTTGTGCTCCGAACGGTAAGAAAGATCGTTTTGTGATTTGTTCCAGTATTTATCGGTTGATGCTCTGGAGGGTCACTCAGAGTAATTCAAAAAGTTATTAATTCAAATACCCCATAGCATCTATCCCTTTGAATGTTTTTGCATCACTCTATGGAGTTTTGGAGAGTAATTTGACAATCTTATCCTAGACTTTACACTTTAAGAACGTACTCAGTGGCGTTATAAAAATTGTGCATTTGGATTTCCTTTGAACAGCATTCCACATTGCTGTGCATATGCTAAAGTGATGCAGTGAAGTTTAAAGGGTTCTTGGCCTGATTTTTATTCTAAAACGTCTAATGCTGCAGTCACTACAGTGATTCATCTTACTCAAAAGCACCGTCCACCCAGACTGGGGATAGTGATGTTCTTAGAGGCAGTGTCCAGGTAAATCTGGACCTTTTGGTTTCTTGCGTGGAAACCGATGGGGAGCCACTGACTTAACCATTGCCCGAGTTGCAGCGCACGGGATTCACTCATCGCAGAGAAATCAGCCTTCGAACCCGTCGTCCCCGCGCCGTGACCGTAACACTTCAACAGCCTAAACTCACATCACGGTCCCGGCGCGAAATCATGAGGACAGGGCGTAGCGCGGAAACTCGTTGGCACAAACCCTGCAAATTTCCTAATCCTTCTCTTTTTTCCCTTGTTTTCGTTGTTTAATGCGGCGGTCTCTCTCGAAGCTGCCTTCTCCGTGATTTCAGTTTTCGTTGGTAGTGTAGGAAGGGTACGAAGGGTAGGAAATGGCGCGAAAAGTGAATATATATCAAATGATATAAACGATGCCATGAAAAACACGGAAAAGAAGGAAAAGACAGCTTTGAGAGAGATCGCCGCAATAAACAACGAAAACATTTTTTACCTCGGGACCTCAAATTTCGTACAGGTGTTCTTTTTCTTGCATAAGTCGTGGACCTTTCTTTCATATGTATTTCTCTACTGTTTCGGTTTTGCTTGTTGTTTGTCATTCTGTAAATGTTTCGTATTATTCACTTTTCAGAATGCAATCTTTGTGGAGCAAAATGTCCGGTGGTCGATGGCCATGTCTTGCCACTTCATCGACCAAAATGTCTGGTGGAAGCGGCGTTCCTCTGACTAAACGTGGAAAAAGATAAGCTGGAGGACATCAGATACTGATATGTTCATAAATTCTTTGGTCGAGGAACTGGCAAGACATGGCCTGTTCTCGGCACTGTTGCTCGGAGTCTGTTGACCATGCTGGTCGAAACATTATGCTTTGTAAACGTCATTGGGTGTTTACGATGGGTGTGCGATGGGAGGCTCAATCAGGAGTTTATGTTTTTGACTCACTTTCGATGGATTCATCTGACCAACATTCTCATCTTGATGATTACTAGACTTGTTTCATCCTAGCTTTTTGCAAAACAACGTTGTTGAAAAAAGAAAGTCGAATGTACTCGAAACGGAATTTCGGCGTATCACTGCTGAAACTCGGTTATAATTGAACCTCGTTTTGGATTTCTTTTTGCAAATCATTCCTGAATTTTTGTTCAAAACTTTATCGTTGTTGTTGAGAGTTTTGTCCAAGTTTCTGACTTTATTGCTTACGGTAAACTCTTCTCATTTTCATTTTCTTTATTTTTTAGTTTCGCGTTTTGTAAGAGATATGGTGCACTGCCATGAGTTGGCAGTAGCGGCTGGCAATTCCTATCATTACTCTTGCACCACAGCCCATTTAAGTTCTTCTTTAGGAAATTTGCAGGGTTTGTGCCAACGAGTTTCCGCGCTACACCCTGTCCTCATGGTTTCGCGCCGGGACCGTGATGTGCGTTTAGGCTGTTGAAGTGTTACGGTCACGGCGCGGGGACAGCGGGTTCGAAGGCTGATTTCTCTGCGATGAGTGAATACCGTGCGCTGCAACTCGGGCAATGGTTAAGTCAGTGGCTCCCCATCGGTTTCCACGCAAGAAACCAAAGGGTCCAGATCTGCCTGGACACTGCCTTTAAGTTGTATAAAATTGGAGCTCTTGACTAACAAAAGTTGTAAGTAATCACCCAAGCCCCGCTACAAAAGATGACATCCGAAGCGAGAAATTCGCTCCAAAAATTAGAAGAGGTCAGTATGGCTCCACCCCATCAACGCTGACTGCTTGAAGATAAAAAGTCAGCAATTGTGCTTTGATGCGTCTAAAAGGGTAACTTATCAGCCCTTCATTACGACTATCAAATTTCGCCATTTTCTATCCTGTTATTCATATCTATTCTGTTTCCATCTCATTGTCAGTTTTCAAAAAACCCAGATCTCAACATTTTGTTCGAGTGTGGAAGTATCGATGTCTTCTCCCATGTATTTACTGCAAAAATAGCTCACCATAGGCCTTTTTGTACTCGCCCCATCGTGCAACTAATTCGAGATTATTGTGAATGTCCTTAGCTCTTCCAATCTTAGCGATAGTCCTAAATACATACAATTCACCACCACAATTAAGCTTTCGGCTTGTTGCAATCTACTGGCCCAAAAAGGCTATTTTCTATGCTATCTAGAAGCAATTTTTAATGAGAGAAGCATCAGAACAAGGCCTGAAGATTGTGTGAGTACAGATAACTGCTGAAGCACTCACCTGCTTCCGCTATCGGAGGCTTGCACAAAGGCGGATAGTAATGCCAATAGAAAGAAAGCAAACATTTTTGCAAAATCAGGCATCCCAGACCTAATTTATACTTACAAGGGGCGGAGTTTAAGACAGTTTGATCCCTCACATTGCGTTGTCCTCTTATCTTTGATAAGAACTTTGGCTTCAAGTACTCGATGTGAGTGGAAAAAGCAGAAAATTTTCAGAAGAGATTGGCAGTAGCCATGTTCATAATTGAAGAATTTTTGTGTTGTAATATTTGGTTGCTAACGGCTACCACGCATTTTTCTTATCTGAGCTCAGATTTCTAATTTTTCGCCGCTTGATAGCGCCAAGTAGTATATTCTCATCTATCAGGTATACCTTCTCCATCCTTAAAAATCAAATTACATTGAAAGTAGAAATGCAAATTATGGAAGTTAGGAAATGACGTTTGTAAATTTCCCCTTCCACAACTGCTACAGATTGAGCCAGACTGCGTTGCATACGCAGCGTACGAGCCAAATCTTTACGCACGTTGCGTACGTCACGTACGCCAGTCTGGCTTAGCTCTACCTAGTTTATTGTTGATTAGGTTATAATTTAGGTAAGTCTTGTTACACTTATCTTTTCTTGTCAGAACTCTGTGAGAACATGTTAGCCATCCCTTCGGAATATACAGGGTGCGATGTGATGTGCGCACTGTTTGATCGTTAATAACTCTCCTGCTTTCATGTATTTTGCCGAGCTTAAGGAGGCGTTCTGCAGACCAAGGTTCAACTTAGATTTGCAGTGTGGAGTGAATGACCGATTCTTCTTCATTACTGTAAGATAAAGGTAAGAACTTTGAGTAGGATTTCAAGCCATTAAAAGCGGTATTTTGCCGGTAATTTGCCTCACAGAGTAAGCCAAACAAGCCAAAAACTCTTGAATGGGCTAATCGAAGACGCTCAGTCCAAACATGAAAATTACATTTCAATATAGCGCTTCTTTCATAAGTTATTTCAGATTTAGGGTAACAACTGATTTTCCAGTGTTCATCAGAAATGTGAATACGCCATCAAGAAAGCTCGAAAAACTCATGAAAAGTCTTGTAGTGAAATCAGCGCGCCTGAAAACCTTGCCATACGAATTTTCGGATTTTTTAAAATTATTTCGTCAAAAGGCCTATTTCACAGTGACGCTGTATGCTGGAAATTCATACCGTAATCCTACAGTAATGAAGAGTGATTGGTGATTCGCTCCACACAGCAAATCTAAGTTGAACCTCGGCCTACAGAATGGCATCTTAAGCTTGGCAAAAGACGTGAAAGCAGATGAGTTATTGAGGTTTGAACAGTGTGCACACCTTTTTGGGACACCCTGTATAAGGGAGATGTAAAGGTATTTTTATCGGCGCCATCTCCATTCAGCGGCTACAGCAAACATGGCTTTTACAATAATCTCTAGAGAGCAGCTATCTATACGTCCTCTTAATTTACGAGTGCTATTTGGAAACCTCAGTAGGCACAGCTGCTCATCGGATTTCGTAGAATGGTGCAAGCAGCATTTTTTATGCCACAGCAGCCAGTTGTCACAAGAGGATTAATGAAGAAAACATCAAGATGGAGCTGCCCAGGATGCTCACATCCAGTCCGGGCTCCTTTAAGCTACTGTTAAATCGGTTCCGGTAGACGGGCCAGTGCCTTGCAGAAAAACTAATTCGAACTTTTCCATATGACGACGGCTCTTCATGTGCACGACCATTGGCTTGGTAAATGTTTGCTAGTATACTACTTTTGGCAATGCTCCACGTGCGGTCCGACATAGCAGCTCTGCCTTTCTCAATGGGGACGACGGTTTAGCTCAGGTGTGTGAAAGCTGTTGATGAGAAGTGCGTTTGATTGTTTGCAACGGGCGATTGCAATATGCGGTGACCCTATGTAAGCCTGTTATGGGTTTCTAATCTTATAAGAGTGCTGTCGCAGATTGTATGCGGTGCAGAAGGGGAAGGAAACAGTGAGGTAGTCGGAAGAGACGTGAAAAACAAGTCGGGAAGGTAAGCCTAAATATTTCGCACGATCAGTCTACCATTTGGGTCCGTTACCCATTCCCATGCGAAACTGGGGGTGCCAGATTGTATCCACTAAGACTGATGCCCCCTAACGTGCTCTAAAAGAAAATTTGAGAAGATTACCTTTGGGCATGAGAGTCATTGATTTGCCTTGCATACCATTTCATCCTGAGTTTTCAACCGTGAGAATCTCATGCAAGCACTCACCATGTTTGACCTTGATGTGATTATAATCAACTACCACTGAAAAAAGGCTCATTAAATAACTCTTTCGACGCGTACGATTTTGACACAGGACAAGTTATGACACCTCTAAAGTGACCCAACTTCAGCGTCTGGTTCAGGACAATTACAGGCAAATAAGAGGGCTAGCGATGCAAAACTTGACACTCATTGCTGCAAATGTTTTTTTACGTCCGAATCCCTGTATTGCGCCAAGTCCTTTAATGTAATGATCGCTGCATCACATGTCCCACACAAATCCACATATTTTTTGATTTCATTCATAGCCAATACCTGAACATCAAACTTACACGAGAGAAATCTAGCAAAATCGGCTAGGATTCCTCAATGTAGAAATGCATTTATCCTGATTTCAAAAAAGTGGTTACACTCACTAAAAATGTACCAATTCATTTTCATTTTGCAAATCCTTGATCCGTAATAAATTGTATTAGGTCGTTCCATAAGTTCGTAGCGTTTTTATAAACCAACAAAATCATCAGTTTACAGTAAAATTCACTCAAAATTGTATTCCTGGTTGTAGCGCACAACCTTTTGGCACATTCTTGTTAGCATCTCAACCTCAATTTTTCAAACGGCAGCGCGCCGGGTCCCAAGAAAGTCATCTAACCAGCGCTCAAGTTGCTTACTGAAATCGAGACATGCACAATTCATGAGGTTTAAAACGCTACGAACTTATGGAACGACCTAATATGTCAAAACGGTAATATCGGTGTTAGAATTTTGCCAAACAAATTGTATTCTTGATGACCATACTTCCAGTATGACCCCTTCACAAATATGCCGTCAAGGGTACACCCACTCTTGATCACAGACATCAAAATACTTTTAAGTACTCCATTCCTTACGGAGGAAGTCAGCAGTATGATACGAAAGTGTTCACATTGTGGAACTTCTATGAGTGGAAATCAGAGATAACTTCAGCTAATCTCAAAGGAGTCGTTCCGTGATCGCACTTACAGTCGATTGTCACACACCTCAAGTGTACGTTGGCTTCTGTAGACAAGGTAAATGCTAGAGGTAGATCTCATCACATCTCGCATCTGTGGAGAACTATATCAAAAGATCGACAGGCAGTTAGGCATAGGAGCCAAAGAACAACTTGACGATGTTAGGAACAGAAATTTGCATCCTAGGTGAGTACCGCAAGCAATGCCATGAAGACCAGTACTTTGAAGTCGTCACGACCTTATTGCATGTACAGGCCCTTTGGATTACATCAAAAGTTTTAATAACCCGAATAATACCCGAATTATAACCGTGAATACTTGTCCGCAGTATTCGAAGTTAGTGAAATAAAGAGTTACTATCATGAATAGAATTAGCCACGAACATGTCTTTCTGTGAAGTTGGTTTGAAACGAAAATAGTACAAATGGAAATGGTGATATACTTTATGACACTTTATGACACACCAGCTACACTGTTAATACTTCGTCTAACTACTGCTGAACCACATTCTTGTAGCAAAACAGGGCATTCACAAGTTACTTGAGCTCTCGTTCCATCCCTCTCTTGGTCTATGATTCAAATATTATACAACAAACTCAGTACAATCGTGCCAAGGTTCATGATAATCGGACACGGAATATCATCGAATTTTCTTCATGTTGATATTGTCTTCATGTTTTCAACATTAAAACTAGGAGACATTGCTGTTTGGATTCCACATTGTTCAGCTTGAGCTTCAATAGCATGGATCCTGCTGGTGATAAATTTTTACAGAATAACAAAGCTAGCTAAACCTATGGACATTTTAGAAACGAGGTCTCTCGAAATTGCTCAACACATCACCCTTGTTGCTACTATACTCATATGCTCATAAACCGTCATTTTACTGAAGAGATCTTCGTGTTCAATTTTTCGTTATAATAGAAATAGATGAGTGGATGTAGACAAACATTTATTAACAGCCTGCTCTATAGAAACAACATTCCCCATTGATTCCTCTACCTGTTTTGTTTGCTCACGAATATTAGCTAACATATTTGGTCATATATGAAAAACCACAGACTGTGTTCCGTTTCACTAGGTCTTGCTATGTATACGATTGACTCATTCTGACATACAGCCAGCTGATGTGGACCAGACAGTTGTTTCCGCCGGCGTTACCAACCTGTAGCTTTATATCTGTTAAACATAAGAATGGTGTCCACAATGAACTACGCGTGATTTTTTGTAGATCTCACCAAAACACAATGAATTTAATTTTCGTAAGAAAGACTGAGAAGAGCCTCTTGAAGAAAAGATCCATGGATGGCAACTTTACTACGAATGTTTAAGGAGCCGAAAGGCTCGCTTACGTTGAAAAAACCGATCGGCATTGGCGCATCCTAGTAAACCTGTTCTTTTTTAATTACTATCTTAGTGCAGCTGTTCCTGCAACAATCGCAAATTTTTGTACGGTCATTTACGTGATGTGAAGAAAAAATAAGCTCTTTTTAATAAACGTTCGCATCTTTCAAAGTGCTATTTTTAAGCTGTCGAGGAATGTTTGTGCGTCACTCTATAGCTAAAAGTCTGATAACACTTTCAAATAGTCCGAAAGTTGAGTGCAAATTAATGTACTAATTGGGCATCTTTGGTATTTAATTGCGTCATTGCTACACTGATTGCAACATAGCTTAGTCAGGATCAAACATACAGTGACCGCCAAAAAGTTGCCTGGAAGTAGCTCTCCTTTTTTCATCGCTCATTTTCGGATGGAAAACAAAGATGAAAAAATGATTGGTTTGCATGAGGGATAGAGCTCTTCAAGAGCTACAACGCACACATTGCATTTTCTAAGAACATGTAT